GAAGACAGGAGAAGAGCTGGTGGTGACAACTGACTTCATCAACCAGGGAGAGTATGAGATCGACATTGCCGGGCAGCGCTTCCAGGCCAAAGCCAAGCTCTATCCCTTCAGCTCCCTCTTCACGCAACGGCGCCGCAAGGACGAGGTGGAACTGAGTGGCTACCAGAGGGAGTAGTGCTGACTAGACCTGACCTGCTCCTTTTTCCAGGCTGGAGTCTTCTCCCACCATCGTCCAGCCCTTTCTCCTCACTTCATATATTTCTTTCTTTTCCTTCTTGTCTTGCAACTTTTAAACGTTTTCCAGCGTGTTACATTTTGTATATTTTAAAACCTTAATTTTCAAGCTTTCCCAAATCCTCCTTCAACCCTTGCCAGGCTCCCCCGTGCCCCAGTGGATGAAGCACAGTGCTGAGCATGCAGGGATGCCTGTGGAGGAGTGTACCCCACCAAAGGCTCTGGCCTTGTGGTGATGGGAAGGGTTGGGGTGAACCCCTGAGGACTGCACCCTTCCTCTCTCTTCTCCAGCGTAAGGCGTAGGACAGCAGGTCTTTGCTGCCTGTGGTTCAGATGAACGCTGTGACCTCACCCTGCTCTCCACATACCACGTTGTAGAGGGGTCAGTGTGTCAATGCACACAGCAATAGGATGATCAGCTACCTCACTGGCACGAGACATAGCATTGTGTGATCAGCAGCCAAGAGACAGGTTTTGGTGTCATCCAGCCTTGTCACTGCCCCTTTTGTCCACCATTTTGCTTTTTCCCTAGCAGGGAATCAAGTAGATTTGACATCAGAGCGTTGAGATGACAGTAGCACTGGTAAGTTTGTTGTTGGGATTAGATTTTTTGTGTGGGGTCACTGAAACTATATGGCCTTCTATAAATATAGTTGAAGATCAACACATGTATTTCACTTCTGTAAAGGAATGGAATTTTTTTTTATTAGCAAAAGTACTGATTTCTAACAAGGACAGATGTTAGTGCTTAATGTTAATAGCAGTGTTGAAATGCTGCTTCTGTTTAAGCTGCACAATATACAGTCTCTTTGGGGATTGTCTTTCACTTTCCTTTGTGTGACTTGGTCAAACTTGTCTGGCAAGGTTCATGTAAAACTTGTGTTGGTTTGGGAGACTTTGAGGAGCAGGAGGGGACAATATCTTGTCGTTTTAGCCTGCCCATGGCTATTTTGAAAGTGGAAAATGCAGCTTTTGTCTCACCTGTGGTGCTGTCAGTATTGCAAGAAACACTGGGTTTTCTTCTGGTGGTGAGAAAACATCTCAGCAGCTCCTGCTGGACTCAAGGAGTTGTCTTCTGGTTTTCTTCTCAAATCTGTTACATTTCTTCCTTCTCTCTCTCGGCAGTACCTCAGCAGAAGGGGTTGAATAAGGGAATGAAGGGAGCATGGCAGTGGGATTATAAATTGCTTTCCTTCAGCACTGCTCTTTGCATCCTTCTCACACAGATGCTCCAGACAGTGCAGCTGGAATTCACCCCTTCTTCAGGTGTCAAAGTGTGCTGATTTGAACACTGATGGCAAAGAAGTGGGGAATGCTGAATTGCATTGTGCACATGTACATCTTCTTCATGTTTTGAGCACAATCAAAAGCAAAGACTTGCTTTATTTACTTGAAAAATATCTGTTAAACATTTTCCCTGCCTCTGCCACCTGCACACTTGTCATGGTCTTTCTGCTCCAGCATCTGTTCTGGAGTTTGGACACAACCTTGCACTGATGTCTGCCCTGTCAGCCATGATGAACACTTTCCTTATGATCTTGTTTGGGCACTTTATTTTCTGGTTAAATGTTGAGCATCTGTAGTGTAAATATGAGCTCAAAACCCTCCCTGGTTCTTGTTTTAAGCTGGCTTTCTGCTGCTTTAGTTGCTTCAGGTTGTGCCTTCAGTTGAGTCTGTGGGCTGCCAGTTCAGGAAAGGATGTAAGGGAATTAGGGATTTGAGCATGTGATATGTAGTAGGTTGAACATAGATGTCACTTCTTCAAGTGTGTGTTCCTTTGTCAGTGGTTGAGTTCTGTTGTAGTGTGTGATGTCTTCCAGGATTTCAAACTTTGAATTGACATGCAAAATTTCCCCTGTCACTGAAATGGAGCGTCCACAGTGGGTGGTTGTTCCACTCCATTTTGAGCTTTCGCAGCCCAGAGTCTGCGCAGGTGGAGATTCCGCCTGCTTGTCATTTCTTCCAAATTCCCCTATTATTGCTCTCTGAATTGAAATTTTGCCTGGTGTGTTACAATTAATTGCTTAAATGAAAGGTTCGTAAAGCATCTAATAGCAGTTTAAACTCTATAATCACTTCTTGCATGTCTATCCTGCATGGAGAGAGACCATGATCCCACTATTTCCATGCTGGATGTACATACCTTGGTCTCTCCATGGGTTTATTAGACGTGGCTGTGCCTTCCTTATGCAGGGAAACTGGTGTTCAATCAAGGAAGGGGTTTTGTGTGTGGTACTTAGGATGTGTCTTAGATCAGCCTTTCAGGTTAGGGTTTATCAACCGTTTGTTGTTGCTGGTGAGCCATGATACTTCTTCAGGAGAAGGCAAAGTGTAGGGCCAAGGTGAGCTCAAGTGTGTAATGCAACTCCTGAAGAGAGATTTTAGCTTGAGCCGTTCAGTTCTCTGCAGAGTTAAAACTAGTTGAGGCCAAATTAGAAAGTTAGCAACATGCTGTTCTCTACTAGCCACTTGTTCCTGCAGTATCATTTAAATTGCAGCCAGATTATCTTCCTCCTTGTGATTATTTTTCTTTTCTCTAATCCGTGGATGCCTGTTAGCTCCTCAGGCAACTTTTCATACACGGGTGTCTCTTCTCCAGCAGTTCTGACTGTAAAATTGTGGTTTATGAGCTACTTTTGTCATTATGTCTGCTAAGGTTTATTTTATGTCTAGAAGGTTTATTTTATGTCTAGATCTATTGACTTTTCCATACCAAAAATAGAGAGTGCAAATAGTTTTCCACCGTGCTGGTAGATATAGCAGCACTTTGTGTAATGCTGTGTTTGGTGTTTGAGACTTGGGTGGTTTGGTAATTGTCAGTCTTGCAGCTCATTAACGCCTACTCTGGCCTTCCCTGCTATGAATTCTGGTTCTTGTTTTATATCAGAACCTGAGAGGTCTTTGACTGCTATTCAGGCTTAGTCAGTTTAATTTCTGGTGTAGCTATTTTTAACCTTACAATGGTAAAGAATAGTTTGCTTTCAGCAACTTGAACACCCTTCAAGGGGACAATTGGATCACATTTTAAAATAGTGATACTGAGACCGGAGAAGGTCTTTCTAGTGTAGTGTTTTCTTCTAGAGGTATTAAGCAGTGATGTAAGACTCTAATCCCTTTATCTGATGATTAGAGTGCCTAAAAAAAGAACTACAAAATCTGTTGAAGAGTTACCACCTTTAGTACACCCTCAAATTAGAAAATTAGAAATCAGATCTGTGCTGTGGCACAGTCTTAGCATCTAAGATGCTAAATAACATGGCCTGTAAAATACTACGTCCTGATTCTCATCCTGAAAACTGCCTGAGAAAGGAGGTTTGTTCTCATTCTGCATGGTAAGACTATGAACCTTGGATTGGGAAGCACTAAAATAGCATCCCCCTCCACTGCGGTGGCAGGGGGAATGGCCTCATTCTGTGCTAAAGCAGCACCAGCACCTCGTGTGTATCAGGGTTGTTACCAGTTCTCTGAGCCTTGCTGTCCAGAATGGGAACAGCCCTCTGGATTCCCTTCTGCTAGGCGTCTTTGGAGGGAAGCTAACCAGTGAATCCATCTAAATGTGCATACATGGGAAGGGGTGGATTGCCCAAGTGTTGTCTGTAGTGTGGGGAGCTTGCAGAAGAGGTAGAACTTCCTTCCATTAAATGATTTTTCCAGGCTATTGCATTGTCTTAGCCTTGTGGTGTCTTTTCCTTGTCTCATGTTTTCTTAGTCATTGAGAGGGTACTGAAAGGCTTGAGTAAAACTGGTATTAGAGAACAGGGAGTTTATTGTTCATATTTAATGATCTGAGGATAAAATTAACAGCCTATTTTGGAATTATGTTTTCTGTTTCAGGAGAATATGTTACAGTCATTTTCACGTCGGTCTTTACCAGACTTAGTTTCTTCTTTTCTCTGTGCTGCCTCCAGTATCTAGCTACATTTGACAGGCCTTGTTGGGCAGTTTCTTATTTCGTGGTAAGGAGGGGAGGCTGTGTGAAACTTCCACTGCATCGCCAAGTCTTGGTGTGAGCTTGGATTCCTCCTTTCTACTGTTACATTTGAGCTGTCACCTATCATGCTGCTCTTCCTACACCTCCAAACTCCAGCCTGTGCTGCCATAGGATTTCTCATGCACAAGGTTCTTCTCTTCCTTCTACCTGACGCTTGTCATCACAGCCAGGTTGGCTCTAGATCTGTCTCTGCATCAATTTAAGCTCTTCAGCTTCTAGATGGCACAGATACCAATATCTGAGCTCCCAGGCAGGTTTGTGCCCACTGTATATCCCATTGTTTAACCCTCCCTTTCCCTGTGCCAGGATTTTCCCACTATTCTTAATGCTTTTCTAGTCTCCTTCCTCAGGCAGCTGAGCCCATTAGTTCCTTTTGCCCATCAGAGAGTGAGGCATGGTGAAATAAAACCAGGTGAAGGGGTGACAGAGTGGCTGAGCAGAGGTAGAAGGAGAGGCACAGTGGAAATTTGATCCTGGGCCCATTACTCAACTCCTTAAACCCAGCCTGGATTACCAGCTCAGGGAGCATCTTCCTCTGCAGCCTTGGTGCTGGGCAAGTGAGGGCCATGACTCTAGGCAGAGTTGGCATGGCATTGGCACTTGTTTCCCAGTACACATTTCCCTCTCTCCTTGGGATGAAGGAAATGGTGCCACATGGGAAGGTGGGGGCTGTGCACACTAAATTGCCCAGAACACTTGTGTCTCTCTCTGGCACATTCTTGCAGCTGTAAAGGTACAGCTAACCTCATCCTCACTTGAACCAGAATGGTTGCACTTAGGAAGCAATCTGTAAAAACAAGGTAGTTGCCATGTCAGGGGAAGGAGCATAAGTTGTTTTTGTTTAAAACACAACACTTGGCTGCTGACAATGTCAAGCAAAACATTCACAACCTTCAGATTTGTCTTCCCAGATGAGCCTATTGTAATACTTGGTCAGATTAATTTCTGCCCATTTCAGGATGTTTCTGTGTTTTCCTTAACTGATTATTTGGATTTTTATGTAAAAAAATAAGCTTCCAGTCAGAGAACAGGCCTTGAGGAAGGAGGGGTTAGTGTTATCAGAAGACTTCAAGCTGTCACTAAAAAGCATTTGAAAATTTTCTTTGCACTTTAAACTCTCCTTAAGCATTTTGGCTGTAGCAGCATGCTGATAGCCCTTGGCACGAGTAGTCCTTACATTTGAGAGAGGAATAAAAGACTAAATATTTATAAATGCCTTAAAGCTTTAGGTGAGGTGTTTGGGCACTGATTGTGCCTGGCATTTGATTTTCTTCCTGGAAAGCTGCATGCTGAGCACCCAGAGCTGGTGTTTTTTGAACAAGCACTGAGGGATGGTGGAACTGCTGTTGCAGTATAAAGCTGGAATTTGTACTGAGCCAGGATCCCCCATGCCTATACAGCTGCTGGGCTGACACCTTCCTGTTTGGTTTCCCCTCCAGAAATGGATTTATTAACTTTTTCCTTGTGGTATAATGGGGTTTCTTCTTTCTTTAAAGAAGCCTGGGCTGGTGCACAGTACTCTCTGAGTGTCCCATTGCATTAAAGGAAACAGAGTTCTCTGCTTGAATGCTTCCCTGCTGTACCAGCTGACGTTTGCAGGCAGAAGTCGGGAGAAGTGGGAGTGGAGGGGATCTGCTGCCCATAATGTTTGCTCAGATGGCTCTGAGACTTCTCATCTCCCATTTGTCTCAAAGCAGTGCTGGATTCCCCATGTCAGGCTGGTTTCTGGGTTGCAGCACAATCCAGAGTGCTGCTTTGCAGGTGTTACTTGCTGTGCTGATGTGCTGTGTTAGAGATCCTTCCTGCTAGGGATAAAGTATCTCCACAGAGTGCTACAGTATAATGAGGAAGGTGTTCACGTTAATATGTATTGATTTGCCAGTGCTGGTAACAGTCAGTCTTCCCACGTGGATTCTTGACACCTGCTACAAGCAGAGCAGATACTTGGGAGTTGTCAGCCATCCCAGCTAGAACCTGATCCATTTTGTGTGTATGGAGAAAATTCCTCCACTGTCGCCTTTCACCCTGGCACTAAGATTTTTTTTCCACGCTAAAATTCCCTACTTTTCCTGTAGTGGTACAGATTTCACTTCTTCCAGTATAACCAGAGGCAGACTAATGTCCCTGAAATCCTTGATGGGTTCTCCTCCATCTCCTGGTCAGGCTTGTAGCAGGACACTCATCCAAACTCCTTCATGCTTGTGTCTCCTGAGACCAGATTTTAAAGGGCTGGCAGGATTTCTGACGTGTGCTACTGCTGAAATTTCAAGAACAACTGAATTTTGAACCTGCGAAAACACTTTTCTAGTGCCTTACGCTTGTGAATGTTGTGCAATGGATGTAGCTGAGGTGGGAAGAGCAAGGGGCAACTTCAGCAGTGTGGTTCCCCATCCACTACGGCTGTCTCCCTCTCCCCTTGCAGGGTCCTGGCAAGGACAGCAGGTCATTTCTAGCAGCTTGGAGAGGTTTTTAACCCCTTTGCAATGTGGGGTCATAGACACCTCGTGCCAGGTGCTGTTTCTTTGAGGGGAACAGTGGTCTCACCTCTGCTGGGTTTAGATTTGAAGGGGTTTAGGAGAGACAAAGTTGCTTTGATTGCCAGACCCCATGGCAGAGGACGTGGACAGTTGTTCCCAAGCGCACAAGTCAGGGTGAGTTTGCTGCTCTCCACTGAGGCCATGTTGTCATGTATGCTGTATTTATATCATGCTTGATTTCATTTCATGTTTTGGTTGGCTTAAATGTTGCTAGGTTTGTATATTAATAAAGAGGCATTTTAACTACTCCTGAATTTGACCATTTGTTATGCCAGAGCTTTGCGTGTCTTTCAGGATCCAAACTCTCTGGTCGTCTGGGTGGGATCCTGCAGGCACAGTAGGCTTGTCCAGCCTTAGGAGCTGGAGTGAGCTCTGTCCTTGCTGGTTCACACCAGGAAAGTACCTTCCCCTGCCTGTTCCTGCACCTGCATTCAAAATTAGATCCTTCAACAGTTTGTCCAGGTCCTTCCCTCTGCTGAGCTGGGGCTCAGGGGCATGGACTGTGTGGGACCAGAGCCTGTTTTAGAGTCCAGGGGGGTTGGGACATGGGTGTGGGGTCTGGGTGTCCATCACTGACCGGTGGGCTCTGGCCTGAGGTGTTGTGCCAGGGCTCTGCCAACTGGGCACCCAGGCATGGGGCTAGGCTCTGCTCCTGCCCCGGTGGGGGGATGTTAACCACAGATGGTGGCTGATGTCTGGCCCAGGAGAGGAAAGAGCAGAGCATCTTCTGGGCTCCATCAGCTCTCCCATTCCCTTTCCCTCCTGTCCCCACCACTGCCTGGGTCTGGGTACAGGTGAAGGCACAGCAACCAGGGCTATCCGAAGAAACACACCGAGCAGATTTGATGCATGGTTTTTATTGACCTTTAAAAAAACCAGTTGTTTTAAGACAGTTGTGTGCAGAAATACCCATGTACACAGAGGCTATGGGCTGAGCTGCCCGCCTGCTCCTAGCCCTGGGTCAGAGCACTGTCTCTCCCTCTCCCAGCGGAGCAGGAGGCGACGGGTGCTAGATCAGGCACCACGTGATGAGGACTACCTCTGCCAGGTGGGTAAGCCTGGGCACCTCCTCCCTGCCTGTAGCCTCTGCCTACATCTCCTCTATGTACAGTACAGTGGTGCGCCGGCCGTGCAGCATGCTCCTGCCTGCGGCCGCCCTGCCAGGGAGACACAAGTGGTCGCAAGTCCTAGTGGGACAGCTTAAATAAAAATAACAATATAATAATAATAATTAAAACCAAAAAAACGGGGGGTAGGGGAAGGAAGTCAGCCAGAAAAAACACTGTCAGGGCAGCCAGGAGCCGCGAGTGTGCCCTTCGCCGGATGCCGGCACTGCTGCCAGAGGGTTTGGTACCCGCTTTGGTACCCAGCGTCTCCGCTCCCCC